CAGCAACTCACTCTCGCACAATTGATTGAAAGCACAATTAAGAGCATATAATTGATTAACTAGAAAGATTCTCATCCATAAAAGCATCACCCATACACAATAATCAAGAAACAATTTCATACTAATCACAATCAATCATTCAATTCATTAATATAACCTTCATCCAATTCGCTAGAACAAGACCTAAGCTAACATAATGAAGAAAGACATGGAAAACAAGGTAAAATAAGAATAAAAACAAGATTAAACAAACAAACTAATTAATCTACTCAAATCAACAAACAAAAAGCAAAAACTAAGAATTAAGCAAAGAAATAAAGATGAGAGAAAGTTAGAAAATGCTCATTGAATAGATGAGAAGAAGTTCCACAAAGTTGCTTCTTCAACCTCTCAAAAACTCCATGAAAATCCAAGCTTTCTCTCTCTACAACTACTCTTAAACTAAAGAGAGAAAATCCTAATCTAACCCTAAGAGAGAGAAAATAAAAAATAGGCTAAACTAATCTAATCTAGGTAAAATAAAAATGTTGATTCAAAGTTAAGAGAAAATAACCCCAAAGGGGGTATTTATAATACAAGTTAAATAAAACAAAATAAATAAAACTAATTAAAACTTAATTAAAAAACAAAACTAAAAAAATAAAAGAAAAGAAAATGAAATGGAAAATAACCTCAAAACCCCAAAAATTCCCACCAGACCCACGAAAACCAACAGACCCCCCAAGTTTTTCCCTTTTCGTGGCTTCTCTCTCTGATCATCATCATCCAACCATCATTTTCACCGTAAATCAGCATCATCATCATCTAGCATCAAATCGTGGCCGTCCGATTTTCATTAAAATCACGTGAAAAGCTCGTGATTGACCCACATTTGCGCGCCCGCACAGAAGTCGCGCACAAGGTTGCGCAAACTTACTGCCTCAACTCTGATTTTGTATTCCATTTGCGCGCTTTCTGACAGGGCTGCGCGCCCGCGGTAATCTGGGTAGCTTCTTGATGCTAATTTGCACTGCTGCTGTTGCGATTTTGCTGCGGATTTGCGAGTGGAAACAGGGGAAGGTGGCAGAGGTTGGTGTTGCTGGTTGCTGTGAGTTGCGTGGCTGATTGGAGGTGGTGCGAGTAGGTGTTGTTGATGCCGCAGCCGTTCGAGCTTTATGGTGGCTGAGGGGTTACGTGAGGTGGATGAAATGGGGTCTGACGCGGCTAGAGTTTGTGATGGTTGTGGATGCGGTGAATTGGTGAGTGGTAGAGACTCGAATTGGGAGTTGGCTGGTGGTTTGGGTTGATGTGAGTTGAGGGGTTTAATGTGTGAGTGGTTTGGTGGTGATTGATGGTTGTTTTGCGTGAGAGAGCAGGGGATTGTGGTGGTGATTGCTAGCGGTTTTGCGTGAGGGAGCAGGGGATTGTGGTGGTGATTGCTGGCGGTTTTGCGTGAGGGAGCAGGGAAGAATTGGTGGGCTGCTGTTGCGGATTGGTGGCTGGAGGTGGATCTTGGTGTGGAGTGAGTTGCGTTGTTGTTGTTGTTATTGAGTGGTGGTGGTCGAAGGGGGTTGTGGGCTGGTGTGCGCGGTGTTTTCGTGAATTGAGGGAGCAGGGGTGTTGTGAGTTGTGGAGCAGGGAAGTGTTTTGTGCTTTGGTGTGGTGAAGGATAAGGAAATGCGTGGTGAAGGTTAAGGTGATAGCAGCGAGGAGGATGAAAAAGGATTGGGAATTTGGCTTGGACCTCGAACTCGAACCTACACATAAACAAACCCGAGGATGAAACCGAGACAAATAAAAGAAAATAAATAATAAAAAGAAACTAAATAAAGTAAAATAAAATTACGACAAATGAATAAATTTAAAGACTAAAAAAATAAATAAAGATAAACAATAAGATCAAATAAAATAATAATTAGAAAATAAACTAAAACTAATCAAATAAAGATACTAAACACAAAAACACTAAAAATTACCAAAACACTCAAATAAAAGATAAAAGACAAGAATAAAAAAATAATAGAAATAAAGGATAAAAAGAGTTAAATTATTGGAAAATAAGATGGAAAACTATTCAATAAACACCCCTAAAAGTGACATAAAAGTCACTTATCAACGACGATTAAACTAAATAAAATGATAATTCAATACTAAAGACATCCAAGATCAAGCATTACCACGACTACAATTATTGCAATAATAGTTCTACCCCTAACATATAATTCAATTGATTAAAGAGGAAAAGTAATCCTTGAATAGTACCAATGGTCTCTCCCGAGTTATCAATGGCTTCCCTAATCACAATCAAGCCTACTTTCGTGGAATCATGTAAATAAAGACCTTAAGCACATTACCCTAACTTCCTAATCATCCATTCAACTAATCCCGTGATGAACTTCAAACCCTTAATTGATTTATTCAAACCCTTCCCATTGCGATTAAAATAATGGATTAATAACAATACCAATTATCCCTAATCTAGTATTGGCATGAGCACAATCAATTAAGCACATCAATTGCAATTATCATTAGAGAATTTAAATAATTAAATCAAGCATTAATCATATTCGAGTTCCGCTAGACCTTGGAATAGGGAAACTACTCACACATTTAATGAAAACAAGAATGATAATCAATACAGAAAAATAATTAACAACAATAAAATAAAAGAATTGAGAGAAGAAATCAATACTTGGAATTAATTATGAAATCTTGAATCTTGAAAGCAAAACCCTAGAAAATAATATGGAAGAACGTAATACCCAAAAAGAAGTCTAAAATAATATCTGAAAAAAGTGATAAATAAAAGACTATCTAAAACCTATTTATATCCTAGCATAAATCTAGATATTTTTATCTAAATATGACTCTCAAATGCCACCAAAACGAGTTGCCACAGGTGGGTTGTGGCACGAAGAAAACCGCCACAACCAGGTTGTGGAGCGGGCTGCCTTCGCCTCTCCCTTGCTCCAATATAGACGGCCACAACCTGGTTGTGGCCAACATATTGCACGCCACAACTGAGCTGTGGAGTAGGCTTTCAAAATGCTCCATTGGTGCTAGAAACGCTCCATATAAGAAATATCTTGTGATTAAAATAAATTCCATGCAAATCGAGCCCTATTCCTATAAAAACAAAAACAACAAGCTGAGAAGAGCAATATCAAAATAGGAAGAATAATAGCTCAAAAAGATTAGGAGAATGTAGAAAACACAATAAAACATGACCAAATATCACATATAAATCGTGTATAATATCGTGTTATCAAAACTTAAGTATAAAACAAAATTTCTAATTTATAAAAATAAAATATTTGATGTATCCTTCAACAATACAGTATATAGTAAAATGCATATTTTTAAATATCTGTTTGGGAAAGAGACTATTTTATAATCCATTATAATATTTACATATGTAAATTTACTTATACAATGTTAATTTAAAATTAATTTATAAAAATCTATGTGCATGGCACGGGGTGTAACCTAGTAACAATGTAAAATAGGCGCTACCAATAGATTGATATCTCCTAAAATTATAACCATCCTTAATATAACAAAGGTAAAATTGTTTTGAGTAAGAGATAATTATGATTATTCGTTCTTGATAACTTCTCCTCATTTAAATAAGAAAAACGATAGATAATTTAAAAGATTAAACAAAGTAGAAACATTTGTATTGTTTTAATATTTAATAACACCAATTGTCTCATGATTTTATTGGAGTTAAGCACATAATAAGGACCTCACTTTTCACATTTTTCACCGTTAATAACCTCCTACTTTTTGTTTTCACCTTTAAGAACCTATGTTCACTATTCCGACCAAAATTAACTAATTTAGTTTAAAAAAAAGTTAGGTCCTTGAGTTAAATAAGTTAGGTTCTTGGGTTAAATATTTTACTTTTACAAAGAAAATCAAAATAAATATGTTATTTATTATTTTATCATTTTCTCTTTTCAACACTAAAATAAAGTAAAATAAAATAAACCATTTTCTTTCTTCTATGTTGTTATCCACTTCTTCTAGAAGCACAAACACCTCATTAATCTTTCCAACATTGCTAAAACTTGCATCCATAATTAAAACTCCTATACTGTACTTGAACTCAAAATTCTAACTAATAATTACCAAACCAATTTTAGAGAGAAACTTACATCCACTTACAGAATTATATGGAAAAAAAACTCGGAAATCATCCATGGAGAAACAGTGAATTGTATTGATTTAATATCCTAAATGCAACTGGGAATATGTCAATTGTTTTGGTTTCGAAATTCGGGCTAATTTTGATTCTCTCCTCTTCATCATTAGTAGAGGTGGATGGCGATGGTGGCCTAAATGTCGAAATTGGGGCTGATTTTAATTCAGGTTTGGCCGTTTGGGGTATGAATCGGTAGGAATTGGGTGGTGTTTTGGGCGGCAGTAGGTGTTTTCTGTTAAAAACATATAACAACAATATTGAAACAGGCAAATTAGGGCTAAACAAATTGGGGGTTCTAAGTATCTTTCATGCACTAAGCTTAAGTTGGGTGGAATTGGGAAGGTGCTTTTTTTTTTTTTTTTTTGTGGACAAGGGCAATGACCACGAGATCAATTGGCGACCGACGGGTTACGAAGAAACATGTATGGTGGTTGTTATTTTAATTTTTAATTTTTAATTTTTAATTTTTTAAGATGTAAGGGATTGAGTGTTTTTTTTTTTTTATTAAATGCTAGCGAGGACTTAACATATGCTAATTAAGGCATTAACCTTTTAATCGACACTCAGGTGGGTTAATGGTGAGTTAAGTGTCTTGATTTCTAACCACAGGTCCTTAAAGGTGAAAAAAAAAATGTGGAAGGTCATTAAAGGTAAAAAAATATGCATATGTAGGTCCTTCTTTTATGCTTAACTCTATGATTTTGTTTACAAAATTGGTAAAAAAGAAATTTAATGGAAACTTGGTACACTCGTTGTTTACTTCATGACTTCATCCTACACAAGGGATGAAAATGAAATACCATACACGAGTCGTAAATTAATGTTCATAGACAATTATCTCATAGATCCCCTGAAAATAAATGGGATATAATTTCTCAAGTAGGGAAAGGGGTGCAATGGTGTTTATTTATATTATTGGACATTAGCACCATAATATAACAAATTCTAGCAAGAAAATACATTTTGCCCATGACCAAACACATACACACTTGATAACTAAGTGCATGAGGAGCATACGCTCAACTCTAGCAACAATCTCAACTACATGACATTATAATTTTACTTATTATTATAATAATCATCCAATTCCAATAAAAGGAAATTAAGAAACGAACATCTGATCTGATGCAATCACTTCAATACTTGGTGCAACCAACAGTGGAAATGATGGATTCCTTTCTCAATTGGCATCACATATCTTCCACTACGATACGCTGGTGTCTCCAACCCTTTTTGGACACTTTCACACAACACCACATCTTCTTTCTGCAATTTTGCACCACATTTGTCAGTTAGATATTTCCTTATTATATGTCTATATGGCATGCTAAGGCGCGTGTAGCATACATGCTAGGGTATTTTAGTCATTTCACACGAGGTAATGGTCATTGAAGGTAGATTTTTGGATTATACTTGTTTTTTTTTTGGTTCAATTGAACATTTTGAAAGTAAATAGTAGCATTACATGTCAGGCTGATATTATTAAATTTCACAAAAGTATAAAATACGAGCATGATGTACTATTCAACGGTATGTCAATTTTGTTAATATTTACATAAATGTGATAATATGAGTTTACAAATCAATATATATCATCAATATAAATTAGTATTTTCACAAGTGTATGTGTGGTTATGGTTTTTTAACGCGTCTATTACATACCAAGGCGTATGCGTGTATCTAATTTTAACTTTTTAAGTGCACCAAAAACTCGTTTATTTTGCATAGTAATTTTAGTAAATAACGAACATTTACGGTTGCACCTTAACTTTAAATTTCTGAGGTAACACTGTCAAGTTTGCACAGTTAGTTGGCCAATGATAAACAAAGTCACATGTTCATTTTTAACGTACCTGTACATTATCATTGATTGCTATGCCCTTCTCGATGTAATCCTTGTCGTCCTACACAAAAAATAATAATTTAAATTAATTACAACAAAAAAATTTCAAGTAGTTCTGCAGGACAAGTATTTAAATAAGCAAAATATGACACAAATTAAAAATTTATAAGAACATACTTTGAAAAAATCGACTTTCAATTGTTCCCAAATATATCGACCCAAAATTTTATGAATTTATATTCTTGATTGACTATTCAAAACACTCATTATGAACTCGGATTGATTAGATTAAAATCAATTTATGTCTTACACCCAAATATGACTCAACCCAAATCAACTTGAGATTAGCTTGACATTAGTGACTTATTTTCCACAACTAAACATTAAACACTATATTAGAAGTTACACAAATGAAAACTTACCAGCTTTGATTTTTCAATATAGTAGTCCACCACTAATTTGCATTTCCTTGGTCCTAATGGAAGAATGTGCATTGTTGTCATCCAAGGGCCATACCTGAAAGATAACCACAAAAAGGGTCCAAAATTTTCAAATTAGTAGCCAAAATGTCATTATCAAAGAGTGTTTAAATGACTCCACCATTATATGAAAAGGTACGAAGAGTTAATAACCAAATGTGTACCTTTCCACAGCAAAGTTAGGGTATGCAAAAGCGTAGAATGCTTGAGATCCAAGTCTATTAAAACCATTGTTTGAACTCCCTGCCACTCTTTGAATCGTGACATTTCCGATCATCTAAAGATAATCATATAACATTCAATATTTAGTCCATAACATAAAAATATACTTCGTATACAATAGAGGATTTCAATACAGAAGTGGTGCACTTGTAAAAAATTGAAAGGAGTAACATAGTTTAATCGGCTTTTGTGTACACATAAGTGACATCTTAGAAGGATCCTCATTAGAATAAATGTAACTAGGTAAGAACTAGAGCGAACTTACATCAGTTTGGTAAGTATCAAAGTCGAGTTCAGTAGCATAGTACTTGTGTGCATAAGGAACATGGTACGAGCTATCCAAATAGTTGTCACTGAAAATCTGAATTCAATTACAACAAGAAAAATCATAGAATCAAATGTTAGTCGCGCGATTAAACACATAACAATTCTACTAATCTAACATTAAATGGTTAATGACAAAGTAGAGTATTAATATTAGACCTTCCAATTAGATTCCATTGGAAATTCACTCCTATTGATGAACTGCAAATTAGGGTCAAAAGCATGGGCCTTAACATCTTCAGCACAACTACCAAGCCATTCAGATCCAACATCATCTACTTCAAGGCTTGATCTGTCCAAACTGATGAGTATAAATGGGCCCCATACTGCAACTTTCAGGGGTACAAGCCCAAGTTCCTAAAACATGAATCACCATTTTTAGTTTTATAAACTATAGATTAAAATTGATTGAAATCAAATGCTTATAATATCTCCGTTTCAGATTATTTGCAATAATTAGAAATTTTTACTCACACTTTATGACAAATTGCTGCAAACAATTTGAAACAGAGGTTGTATTTGTTTAGATTAGATAGGATACTAAGTGATTAAGACCACATACATCGGGATCAAGTGACTGTTCTTCGCTTGCTTTGGAAGCTTTTGTAAGCGATCCATTCATGCCAAATACCCATCCCTAAAAAATGGAAATGAATTGACAAATTAGCACATGTATTTAACAAAACTACAGTATCGAAGATATCACAATTATTGGTTTTTCATTCTATGTATTGCTAAATGACGCGAAATAGAAGTAGAAACTTACATGGTAAGGGCATACAAAACACGATTTTTTTCCGCTTCCACAAGCAAGAATCGAAGCACGATGGGTGCAAACGTTGTGAAATGCATGAACTTTACCTTCACCATCTCGACACACCAAATATTCAACATTTCCTAACCTGTTTAAAACTCATATTAGCATCTTTACCATTTTTGAAATTTTGCTATGAAGTAAGCTTAAATTTCAAGATGAAATAACGTACGTTCCGGTGAAATATTGGTTAGGCTCCTTAATTTGATCACTGTACCCTGCGAGTAGAAGACCAAATTTTTAGCATATAGTAGTATGTCCCTTTCAAGAAGAACATCCAAATTCTTTTTTAAGAAAACTAGTCCTTTTGAAATGGTTTTTTCTCTACTATAGTTCTTGAATGTTCAAGCATGTATCATCTACAAAAACTCGTAGCTAGATCAACATATGTTTTTCACACGCATAATTATAGATCCCATATGATACAAAAATGCGAAAGCACAAGTAACACAGGAGAAAAGTCCATTAATCATCAATATATCATTGGAAAACTTCTTTAATTATATATCGACATACCAAATTTGTAAATTTCTTTAGTTTCAATATTTATTTTGGTTAGGTGTAAAAAGAAGTTACAAAGGATAGTGATATAGATGTGATTTGATTTTGGGTCATGAATATCAGCTCACAAACCTTTAAAATCATTTAAAATCTAACATAGTTTTATTTAGATGGTATCATCATTTAAAATCTAACATTTTAAAAAAATTTATGGCCCAACGTTTATATCATGGCTAGATGGGTGGACCTACATAGGGTCTGTTCACATTTACTTAATTATTTCAGCTCAGCTCAGCTCCGCTCCTAATTTCCTTCTACCATAAAATGAGCTCAATTCAGCTCAACTCAGTTCAGCTCCAATCAGCTCAGCTCAGCTCAGTAAATGTGAACGGGCCCATAGTTCAACTTCTAAACCACATACAAAATTGTCCATGATTCATTGGATATGTGAGGTGTGATGAAAGTAAAATTAAAAAATCTATATACATGGCTATCATGAGTCATGACCCCTGTTTTTAAATTAGTTGGCAATTAGCAATTTAGCATGATTTATTCTTAATATTATCATGGATTGACTTTTTTTTTTCATGCTTCTCAATTGCTTTTAGAAGTTTACACAAGTATGTTTTTGCGAATTATTAAATCACACCCACTTTAATATAATTAGTTATTGCTATGGATTACTCTACTTAACATTATCTGATCTGTAAGTTTTTTTTCACACACGTATTTTTTTTTTATTTGCACCAATTTTCAATTGATGTCAATGCATTGCTCTAATCACGAAATCCTTTTATTACAAATAACTTAAAATTATATAGTTTTGTGTGATAAGAAGTAAAAATCAAGGATTCGATGTTAGTGATAGGATCTATACAGAGTGATATATCCTATCTCTAACATTCTAGTTGAATCTAACAAAATTCTATGTAATTACATAATTTTGTAACCATCATAAAAGTTGAAATAGAGTAAATGGATAGTACGATGGTAACATTCCTCTAGGTTGTTTTTCTTTTGGTAGGTGGTATATGTAATTAGATGTCATCTATATCCATTGCCTTTATTTTTATATAGTGCCGTGTGATAAGCAAAATGAATTATTTTATTTATAAGTTATACTCCATACCACGCAACGAATATCCTATTCGAGCTTTTGGTACAATTTTATAAGTCTAAGTATAGGTAGATATTAACGGATAGCTATATATCTTGAATAATACAAGCTTTATTAAGAATATTCATGGTCTCATCGAACTAAACTCGCCTACATCAGTGTATTTTAGTAGATCTTTATTTACTAGCTTAGGAAAAACCTCAAAAAAAAAAACATGCATGCATATAGTTAGTGAATTAGTGTCAACTAGTTTTACTGATTAATGGTTAAAAAGTATATTCAAAGTATCCTCTACATCATTGCCTCTTGTAAATCTTATTAAACCGAAAAATAAATAAATTAACTAAATAAATTAAAAATCAAAATTTATTCAAGGACTTGTGAAATGGAACCCCTGGTTCAGACACCTCTGTTCTCCATCTCCTGATTTCTTCACCATGCAACCACCACCTGACCACCTGGCCTGCTGTGACTAGCTTAGGCCACTACCACGGCTTGTTCCGCCGCCACCAAGAAACCGCCACCTGACCACCGTTGTCTCTTTCGTTGCAACTACTAAACTTGGTTGACATGCCGTCAAACCGTAACTAAACAGCACCCAAGTTTCTTCATCTAAACTTCTAGCTGAACAATATTATCTTTACTTCGTTTTTATTTTTTGCATTCTTAAACATTCCTAAATTCGTTATAAATTATGTGAATTTTTTATTGATTTCTGTACAAAATTATTTCTAAATGAGTTATTCATTTGGTGGTCCAAATTTCAATTCTTCATTATTTTATTTTTAAAAAAATGGCAAGCTGAATCTTTAGAATTAGAAATAATTTCGTATTTAAATTATTATTATTAGATGATAATTCAAGTTAAGTGTAGCAAAAAAAAATGAAGATACAAAGGAGTATTTCGTCATATCTCATATGCATGTCCGATGTAAAGGGTCCAAAATTGTCAAATGATGAAGTTTAATGTTTAATGTTCTCAAGTAATAAATTACACTTTTTCACGGTCCAAATTTCGTTCTATAATAAAAAAATTACCAAAATAAAATCAATAAAACATAGTACTCCGTATTAAGTTAAATTAAATAAGATTAAAGGATTTAAAAATAAATTAAACAAAAAATATATATATACCTGCGACTTGCCATCCCTTGTAAAAGATACGGTCAAGTTCATGAGCATAGAAAGCAGGTTCAGTATACCAAGAGCTAGGAGGCGTAAGAGCATCCTCGGCCGGAATCCTCGGATCGAATTCCTGGACAAGTGATTGAATTGACGGCGGAGTAGTGGTGGTGTTTAAAGAAGGAAAAGCCGGGGCAGCGACGGCGTTAATGGTTTTATTAGGGGTACGAAACTTAAGTACCGGATTATTAGTACTAGTTTGTGGAATTGGGACGATGTTATTTGAAGTATCATTGTTTGATGATGAATTTGGTATACCACATACAGTTGTTGGGTATTTCAGCAACATTGTTGTTGCACTTGCTGCCATATTGATGTTATATGATGATCAAGCAATAACTAAACACTTCCTTTTGTTGTTATAATTTTTTTTTTTTTTCAAAGGAGGTGGTATGAAAGATGATCAACAATATAGCTTAGCTTAACTTAGCTTGTGTAATTCAAGCTGTGCGCATTTTTTTTGTTCGCTCCTATATCCTATTTATATAAATAATCCTTCACCCCTGTTTCACTTTAGGTCCCTCGTAGAAGCTTCTTCGGGTTTCTTATTAGAATTTTACTATTATTTCGTTTTAAAATAATTGACACAGTTTGATCAGACATATATATAATTGTATTAAAATTACACTAGTAAAGTTTTGACATAACGAAAATACATATTAATTATATAACAATATTTTACATGATATATATTGTTTGAAAATATTATATTAGCTAATTATGCGATCAAAGTTAATACAGAGTAGATATATAGAGTAATAAAATGTTAATTATTTTGAAAAAGAGAGAGGATACAAAATAAAAATGAAGAAGAACAAAGTATTAAAGAAAATGTTATACATAGCCCTAAGGGCTACATATAAGCATTTAATTTACTTTTGAAATTTGTTTAAATTTAGAAAATCATGACAAAAACACACTAATTACACCGATTTGCGAGTGTTTTTGTTATAAATTCCTAACTTTATACATTTTCCAATGTAAATTCAATGCTTATATATAACCCTAAGAGATATGTATAGCATTACCCAAATATTAAATATTAGTAGTATAATATTCCCTTAAAAAAAATAAAATAGTAGTCTAATATGGTAAAAGTAATAAAGGTCCAAAAACCAGAACTTTGGAGTTGGAGGGTCTCTAATGAATGACACGAATTTTATTATATAACGGTCGAATAATATTAGCCCAAACTTGGACGAGTAGTAACATTTTATCACAAATGAATTTAGCGTAGTCAGACTCTCTTTTATCACAAAAAAAAAGGTCCAAAAACGAGAACTTGGACGAGTCTCAATTTTGTTGTCAAATTTTTCATTTTATGACGTCGTTAAATATTTGTCAAAAAATTTAATATGCTGCTGAACTTTTTTTTTTTTTTTATCACTTGTTATTGTTCAGAAATAATCTAAAAAACGTAGTTCCTTTTTTTCATTTTGTAAAGATAAAAATAATATACTTGTAGAATCGAAGGAGTACTATATTTTGAAAAACAAGCAATAAACGAAGTTTGCCAAAACTTTCAAAACAACACTAAAATAAAAACCATCATTATTTTACAAAGGAAATAAGGAATGATGGTATTTTTTTTTTTTTAAAAAAAAAGCTTTAATATCTAATTTACTCAGCCATATCATTATTGTCACATGCATTTTAACATACATATATTAATATTACATCCGTTAATTATTATGTGCAATGTTAGGCTATTATTTATAATACATAAAATATACCAAAGTTGCACATAATAATTATCGGTGACGGTATTTTTTTAAAAAAAAATAAATAAATAAAAAGATAATATTTGATCAAAAAAATAATATTAAACAAATCAAATATAATCATACATAAACATGTCTTGCCTTATATATTTATCAAAAGAGTAAGAATTTCATTTGCATTAAAATAAATTGTGAAAAAAGGACCTTTTAAGTGGTCGACTTTTTGAAAAATGACGTTTTAAGTTAAAACTTGTGAAAAATGACCTTTTAAGTTGCATTTTGTTTGTATGGGGTGTTTGGGTGACCTTCTGTGGTGGTCAATGCTGGAGCTCCGGCGTTGACTATCACGTGTTAGTCACGTGACATTTTTTTTAAACAAAAAAATCCCCAAATTTCCCTCCTTTCTCGACCTAATCAATGAAAGAGTTAGGTCACGTGACCAAATTTCCCCAAATTTGGGTTTTTAAAAAAAAAACAAAAGTCACGTGACTAACACGTGATAGTCAACGTTGGAGCTCCGACATTGACCACCACATAAGGTCGCAAGCTCGCCCAAGTACCCCATATAAACAAAATACAACTTAAAATGTCTTTTTTAACAAGTTTTCACTTAAAAGGTCCTTTTTCAAAAAGTCGACCACTTAAAAGGTCTTTTTTCACAATTTTCTCAATTCATTTAAACACTGGATAAGGACAACATTAAAAAAAAAAAAAAAAAAAAAAAAAAAAAAAAAAAAAGGTTGTGATCAACTCCCTCCTCCGTCCCCGAAATAACGACTCATTTGGATGCGGGTATTAAGAAACTTAATTTGCAATTACAAATGTATGGGAAAATACAAGTAAGCAATAATTTGCAAGTATTCCCTCCGTTTTTAAATACTTGCTCCATTTCTTTATGCGCGGAGTTTTAGGAGAACGAAATTGGAGAAAATAATAAAATATGAAGGTAGTGGGGTTGGTGGAAGAATAAAAATTTATAAAAGGCAAAAGTAGTGGAAATAATTGGAAGAGAGAGAATATATGTTGGGACCAATAGGTGATAAAAATAATTAAATAATGTAAAAACTTTCTAAATAAAAAAATGGAACAAGTATTTAAAAACGGCCACAAATGAAAAGTGAAGCAAATATTTAAAAACGGAAGGAGTACAAATATATGGGAAACACTAGAAAAATTAATGGTGGCAGGAGAGAGAAAAAAAAGTTTAAAAATTTAGAGAGAAAATGGCACAAAAATCTAAAAAAAATACCAAGGGTAAAATAGGGAGAATGAGCTACATGACAAAAATATTTGAGGATATATTGGTAATTTTGTGATTTTAATAGATGTTGAGAAAAATAAATAGGTCATTCTTTTTTGAACTAAAATTAAGTCAAAACGGGTTATTTTTTCGGGGACGGAGGAAGTATTTAATACTTGGATCACCTTATTTGAGTTTGTATGAACTTTTTCAAACTTATCTAAATTAAGCTAGATTTACGTAGTATTTAAGTTTATTAATAATGGAACATATTTAACTAATATTACTCCGTATTATCATAATTTTAATTATTATTATTGTTGTTGTAGTTGTAGTTGTAGATCAACAATGTAACATGCAATGTACCACGTATTCATAAAGTAGTGCAGTTGATGTGTCCGTCTGAGATGTCGTTTTGTAACATTTTTCCTTTGTTTATAATTTTTCCTTTTTTTATAATTGATGTCGACAATTTCCTATGTCACCATTCTTCAATATTTTATGTGGTGATAGCTTATCATGATAACATCACTCCTCAATATGGTACGATGGCGTAACTAAACAAATGTTCATAAATATATACTTTCTCTTTTTTAATTTAGTTCGCACTTTACAAAACCACACTAATTTAGTGTAGTTTGAGAGTTTAACAAGTATTAATTTTTATTTACAAAAAAATTAATAATAGAAAGTGAAGTACTTGTATATTTAGTGTAATTTTTTTATATTTTTATTTTTTTTTTTATTTTTTTTTTGTCCGATTCATTCTTTAGACTAATCCGGATTTGGAATCAGTTCTGAATGATTAAGTTTCAGTTTTTTCTCAATTATTGTTGTGGGAGATTAAACTCGTGGTCCCCCTGCCAATTGCATTCCCAATTACCACTGCACAAATAGCCAATTAGTACTTGTATATTATTAATAATTAATTATGAAAAAGTGTAGAGATCTTAATATTTAGTAGTGGAAAACTTAAAAGTTACTCCCATGCGAACCAATTAGGTCAAATAGAGTAATTCAAACAAAAAAAAAAGTTCGATGATTATAGCAGAGTGAATTATCCAATTGTACTTAGTTAAAAAAAAATTATCCAATTGTACTTGCTAAAAATGAAAATTATCCAATTGTAAGACTTAGGCCCGTTCTCTTCATCTTAAAAAAATAATATTAAATAAAAATAATTTCAATTCAGTAAAATTAAGTTCAGTTCAGTAAAATTAATTTCGGTTCAGTAAAAATAATTTCAGTTCAGTAAAAATAAGTTCAGTTTAGTAAAATGCAGTTTTCTTAAAGAAGAATTATAATAGAAAATCAGTAAAAATAATTGCAGTTCAGTAAAAATAATTTTAATTTTAGTAAAATTAAGTTCAGTTCAGTAAAAATAAGTCCAGTTCAGTAAAAATAATTTCAGTTCAGCAAAATTAAGGTGAATCAAATAGGGCCTTACACAATAAGTGGTAATGGCTCTTATCGCATGCCAAATTAATCCGAGTAATTATAAAAATAAATAGGTTTTTTTTTTCTTTTTTTTCTTTTTTTCTTTTTTTTTTTTTTTTTTTTTACGAGCATAAAAATAAATAGGTTAAATTACCTAAAGAAGTAGCAAAATTGTTTTTGGCTTAATGAGGTCAGTGGTATAATGCGAATGTGACGAGTTACTCGATCGAAGATGTCTTTGTTTTAGATTCATCCAAAGAGGTTTTACACTTTTTTTCTACTTTAGGTGATTTCCCTTTTCGATGTTAAACCATCATCACTCATGCACTGGCGGAGCCAGCGTGGGACAAGGGGGGACAGTTGTCCCCCCACTTCCAAAAAATAAATAGTATAAATACAATATTTTGTGCATTATGTAATAGACCAAAGGAGTTAGCGCAATGGTTAAAGTAAGTTGCATGAGTTTGTACTTGTAGTCTTAGGAACTGGGTTCGATTCTTCCTGTGCGCTTTTTCTTTCCTTTATTTATTTATTTTTTTTTTTGTTTTTGTTTTTTTTTTTAAAAAAAATTATTATATATATAAATCTTTATAAGATTTTGAAACCTAAATTTTTATAAGATAGTATTACTTCAATTTAATTCTTAACATTACCCCATTTACTTATTTGAATAATTGTAACTGTAGTTCCCTTTATTTATTTATTTATTTTATTTGTTTTTTAATAAATCTTTATAAGATTTTGAAACCTAAATCTTTATAAGATAATATTACTTCAATGCATTTCTTAACAATTACTCCATATACGTATTTGAATCTTTGTAATTGTAGTTTTGCATGAGCTTTACCCCAAATTACGATTGTTATAGCCTAATAGATAATTATGACAGTACTACATTTAAATAACTATATTATTAATTGTTTGAAATCTTCAAAAATTATGAACCCCTAAACAAATAGTTTATGGAGAAAAGTGGTATACGATGTTGATTTTTTGACTAAGTACTCCGTATTTTATATTTTGAGCTGTAAAACTTTAACTATTTAAGCATATTTTTGCTCCAATATTA